GCCAAAATGAGCGCGATCTGTCAGACAGTTCGTTTACGGCAGCTGTTGAAACCAGTTCACCTCAGTAGTGCGTTGCGAAAAAAACAATGGAAAAAAATATTGGACAAAGAGTTTGCATCAAATTTTGTGTTTCGAACGAAATTTCGTGTGCAGAATCGTTGCGAATGCTACAAAAGGCTTATGGGGAATCAGTTTTATCGAAAACTCAAGTTTATGAGTGGTACAAAGCCTTTCAGGACGGTCGTACGACCGTCGAAGACATTTCGCAACGCACTACTGAGGGGAACTGGTTTCAACAGCTGCCGTAAACGAACTGTCTGACAGATCGCGCTCATTTTTGGCATAGTAATTAAGGACAGTGCTGCCAAACTACATAAACTTAAAATATCGAAAAATATACAGCGCGCGAATTTTAAATGAGAATTTCCGAAAACTTTTCAGTCTTAATGTATGCTTTAGCGTTCCATGTCACGATTTTTACACGTGAGTTATTAGTTGAGGTTTTTTTCAACACTTAAATAAATTAATTAATTTAGTAGAAACTGCATTTGCAATATATGGTGTAAAATAAATTTTAGTTAAACATAATTATGTTGTTAAAAAAATATTTAATTGTCATTTGAATGTCAAAATGCTCAATAGGTAGGAAATAATATACTTAACATTTATAAATTCTTATTTTTCTTATCCACATTGCAAAGACCATAAAAAAGGCAGAAAGCTGCAATGGTAGGTTATCATGTGTAGACTTTCTGAGTGGGGTCATGAAAGTCACAGTTGTAAGGGAAGATATAAGGGAAGCTCAATATGTCTCTAATCTGGGTTCCCAGTCAAAGGAATAGTTTCGGCAATTGTAGAGCAGATGAGCTAGCCAGAAAAAGTGCTTCAGGACCGCACTCGGAACACCTACATAATCTGGCCATAACATCATGCAAATTATTACTGAGTTATTTCTGTACTGAAATTTTAAATAAGAGATGAGAAGACTCAATGATATGCAGGCATCTGTATGCAATCTGGTTACGTTCCGATAGAAGAAAATCCAAAATTCTCATTGAGATACATAGTAGAGATATTGGTCTTTTGGTAGGTTTACTTACAGGTCACTGTAAAGTAGAGGTTCATGGTAGAAGATTAGGTCTTATTTTTCATCTATTATATTTTTGCCCAGCACATGCACGACGGTGTTTTAATACTCTAGGAACCCCCTTTCTTGAGGACTTTGATCAATTACAGGACCTGACATTAAATTGCATTTTATGCTTCGCCAAAGGTTCTAGTTGGTTTTAAACCATGAGTTTTTCCTATATATACGGTAACATAATAGGTCAATAGGCATAAGTGAATCCACAAGGGATCGCCGGTATAACCTAACCTAACCTAAGGGAAGTTGTTGAAAGTAACAGATTGTAATTCAAGTAAATAAAAAGAAAAGAAAAGAAAATACAAAAAAAAAGAAAAGAGAAAGAAAACAAATAAAAGGAAAAGAAAAAGAAAAGAAAAGAAAAGAAAATAAAAGAAAAAAAAGAAAAAAAAGGAAAGCATGAGAGAGCCTTGTCTCATAGTTGATATTATGGCGTCGGTTACGAACTCGAAAAAATGCTTGCCGTTTGGTTTCTGCTAAAATAATTGTAGTCTTAATAGGGTAGATAGGGTGGCAAGCCTGCAGGAGGCGTTTCTGCTGGTATATCTGACGTGAAGTATGAAATTGAATGTAGGAATACTATTGTCTCGCGACAAATCATAAAAGTATCAAAACCCCTTGTGTAATTTTACTGGCGATAAGTTATGACAATAGCAGAGAATTTCGATGGATTGAATTTACTTTTTAATGCAAAGTAAAACTTGAAAGCGCACTAAATTTGAGGTATTAATTTGGTTGTATTGTAAGATTACAATTTGTTAATTATATAAATAATAGTTAATTTAGTAAAATAATCGCAAAATTTGTTAATTTATAAAAAGTTAATTATTTCCTAATTAAAAATTATTTATGAAGTAGTTTTAATATTATAAATTAGTTATTCATTAGAAGTTAAAAAAGAGCTTTATTCAAAAATCATCTATTTATATTAAATTTTTATAGAGTTTTTTGAGTGAAATTTGGTATTGCTCAATAATTATAACTCAAAGTTAAATTTCGTATCTTTATAATTCAAGAACTGAAAATGCTTTAAAAAGCTTTTGATATTTATATAATTTTTTTTTGTTTTTTGTACGAAATGAGTACGCAACACACAAAATGTTAAGTAAACCGTTTAACTTTAAACAAAAATAAAATATAAAAAAATTATTATATATTTGTTACATGAAAGTATCTCTGCAGTTGCAAGTACAACGCCGAACATTAAACTTAAAAATATTCTTACAGTAAATAATTTTATTTGTTGCTTTACTAAATTCAAAAAAAAAACATTGTTTACAATTTTTCTGAAAGCGAAAAAATTATTTAAATAAAATCAAAAGTTCTTTTTACATTTATTTTTATGCTATTTTTAATCTATTTTGGGACATTATTTTTGAAACAAATATTGTCAGTGCTTACAAAGAAGTGTGATAAACAAAAGAATTTTTAAAATATATATTTTTAAATTATAAGAATTATTCAAGCGCATTTTATTGAATATATTTTTAAATTATTATAAAAATTGGTAAATAAAGAAAAGTTGAATTTTAAACGATTATTGTGGTTTAATGCTCAGGACGGAAGAAATCAAGCCGAAATTTATTTAAAATTCTAAAAACAAACCACAAGACAGTGAAGTTGTTTTTTCGAAGAAATTTGCGGCCGGACGAAACGTGTTTTGATTAAAGTTATTGAAATAATATTTATTATAAAAGTATAATAAAAGTTATAAAATTAAAAAGTACAATAATCCACCTATTAATAATTCATATTGTCAAGCAAATGATCGATTTCTGATATAAAAAAATGGTTGCTTTATGATTTCCGGATTGGTGACGTTTGTAAATATGGAATAATGACGATGGGTAAGATGTGAAACATTAATTACATTTAAATAAATAATATTTAATTTGTTTAAATAAAAAAAGTTATAATTAACATTTAAAACTTGGCATATATTTATATAGTTTCTAAGTTTACCAAAATTAAAATGAATGTTTCATTATTAAATGGCATTTTGCATCTATTAGCATGATTTTAGTATATAAAAATGGTTTCATCATCCTCTCCCCTTAATAATTTTACCTCTCCATCATTAATATTATTTATAGTCTCTACCTGGCGATAAAGAAAAATTCATTTCTATAGGTATATTATTTAATTTATAACCAAATAATTCGACCGTTACTTCTATATGGATGTGTAGCGTTTAGCAAGACCTCAAACACTACTATTCGCCAGCTAGAAATTGCACAAAGCCAGGCTCTGAGAAGACTTTTCAAGGTGTCATGGTACATTATGACATCCTCAGGGACCTCAAGATTGATCCGATCAAAAAATACATAAAGAATAGGGCCCTGAAATTATTTACGAATAATGGCAGGCTTACCAACACCGCGTTAATGAAAATCAGAATAGTTACAGGCTTCTCGGGGAGGTATGCAGATCTGAGGTCAATTATTGCTTAGTCTGATGAAATGATAAGCAATAGTCCAGTCAAGGCATAGAGAGAAGTTATGATGTTATTTATTATTTTTATTGTTGTTTATATAAATACTTGGAAATATTCAAATCGACCAATTTTCATGCAAGTTTTATTATTAAAATTTTTATGTCATATGACAAGATATATCTATCTATCTATCATCGGATAGAAAAAGTGGTAAAATGAGGAAATTGTTAAATACAAAAATTTAATTTTCAATGAAGTAAATTCTTCGGTTAATCATGCATATAGATTTATATATATATATATAAATAAATACATATATGTGTATTTATATATTTATATGTACTTATAGGCATATAGGTATTAAAACATTTGTATAGACTACATGTAGTTATATGATCTCTGCTATCAGAGATCTTACTAAAAATAAAAGGCTGTGATTACACACGATACATGTGACTTATGTGCTGATGAAAGGTTAAATTTTATATAATATAATTACATATAGGGCAGTGGGTGGGGTTTTGAAAACTTATTCAAGGTTCATATGAAAAAAATTAATTGATATATATAAAAAAATTTTGTCAAATCAAATAACACTTTAAAAATGATCAAATCGGTAATACTTTTGCCAATTATATAAATAAAATTTTTATTTTATCAAAATTTTATTTTTTAAACTACAAATATTTTACGCTCTGTTATGTATTTTAATCTTATACTGGATATCTTTATTGATATTAATTATAATATGAATGTATATTATTCTTTAGATAACAATAATAATATATTAACAAATTTTTTTAGTTATTAAGATTAAGATTAAAACTGTATTACAAAATACTGTTTTTATAAATATTTGTTTTTATAAATGAGTGTTTTTGTGTTCTAAAAGTATCTTTTATAGCGTATTTTTTGAATTGCGCTGCAATTATTTTTAGAAAAATTTTCCGAAGCAGTGTATCTTTTGATTATTGTTTTTTTTGCCAATGGTAAATTGCAAATTTTCAATTGACGTAACTGATCATCCTAAATTCGTCACCGAAATAATAGCAATTCTATGTAAACAAAACAATAGAAAATTAAATTGTTTGCTTATAAAATTTTATTAACTACGGATGCTACCAATTTATATTTTTTAGATAAATTTATTTTTGCTCTACACAATGCAGATAACAATAAAATAATTTT